ATTGGGAGGGCTGGAGTAGGGAAAGCTGCAGTTTTAAATCAGGTGAACAAGGGCAGCATTGAAAACCGACATTTGAGCAAAGACTTAAAGAAGATGAGTGAGTTGGCCCTGCTGATATCTGGGGTTAAAGTGTCACAGACAGAGGCAACTGCCAGTGCAAATGCCCTAAAAAGGAGGAGCGTGCCTGGCTAGTTCGAGGGTCAACAAGAAGACCAGTGTGGCTGGAGCAGAGTGAGAGGGGGAAGAATGGTAGATCAGGTCAGGGAGGTGGTGGAGTGGGTGAGGCAGATCATTTTAGGGTTTTCTAAGCTATTTTAAAGACTTTGGCTTTTTCTCTGAGAGAAATCAGGAACTATTGGAGGATCTCGAGCAAAAGTGAGACGTGATCTGACATACATATAAAAGGATCACTCCAGCTGCTGTGATGAGAGTAGACTAGTCTTCCTACTTCCCCCACGTCCCCTTACAGTCAATTGATGCTGGGGCCTCAAACCAGCATCAATGGTAGCAGTGGGAGCAGTGAAGATGGGGAAAGTAATCAGAGTCTGGGTATATTTTGAATACGGACCCAAAGGAATTTGCTGATGAATTAGATGTGGTACATGAGAGAAGGAGAGGAATTGAGGATGACACAAAGGCTTTTGGCCTGAGCAACTGGAAGGACAGAATTGCCATACCTGAAATTTGGGACAAAATTATAGAAGCATTAGAAAAAAACATAATATTATATATATTAATATTATATATTATATGATAGTAATATATAATAATATTTCTATTGTCTTAGATTGGGAAAAGCTTTCTTAAGGAAGAATGAAATTCAGAAGCTGCAAAGAAAACAAATTGCTAGATTTAACTATAACAAAAAGCAAACTTCTTTATGATAAAAGAAGTAAAATTTTAAAAAAACTGATGAATTGGAAGAAAATATTTATAGTGTATATACCAAACTCAGGTAAAGATTCATAAGCTAAAAAGAGTACTTCTACAATATTAAAAGATAACTCAATGGAGAAATGGTCTAAGGCCATAAACAGGCAATTCACAGGGAAGGGAACACCAGTTAGGCCAGTAAACCTATGAAAAGAGGCTTGACCTCATTAGAGGTATACAAATTAAAACAACAATGCAATACCGGTTTTCACCCATGATACTAGTAAAAATAAAAGACCGATAATTTTCATTGTTGACAAGGCTGTGTGTGGAGAAACAGGCACTCTCATATACTCATAATGGAGGTGTAGATTTGTAAAGAATTTCTGGTGGATAATTTTTCATAATCTACCAAAAAATAAATTGTTCATACCCTTTGATCCAGCAACTCCATTTCTAGGTACCTAATCTGCAGAAATAATCACACAAGTGGGCAGAGATATAGGCAAAAAGATGTTCATTTCACCATTGCTTATAGTAGTGAAAAACTGGAAGGACCTGAGAATTCACCAATAGGAGAATGGTTAAATAAGTTGTGGTACATTCATACGATGAAATACCATGCACCCTTAAAGTGGATAAGGTAGATCTATAGATGTAGTTGTATACATGGTGACACAAAGAGATAATAAAAATGCTTTTTCAAGGGGAAAAAAGCAAATTATAGAACAATATGTATGTTCTGGTTACCGTTGAGGAAAAAAAGGTAACCTCATGTGTGTGTGTGTGCAAATTTATAGAAGGCCTGAGAAAAATGTGAAACTTCTATTGCTTGTGAGCATGGCATGGGATTAAACGTGGGTGAGAGAATGGAGACTTTCTTATTATTTTCTGTATACTTCTTTGTTCTTTGAAATCCCTTTACAATCAAAATCTATTACTTTTGTAATTTTTAAGTTAAAAAATGAGAGCTAAGTCAGATACTGCAGATTTCTGAAAGTTCCCAAAGAAGAATCCTGGAGGCAGTAGCGTGGTTGTTGCGTTACATTCACACTGTGCCACTGTGTGATGAGATGGGAGGGATGGCATCTAATGCGTGCTATGTGGCCTTGGGAAAGACACAACGTTTCTGAGCCTCTGTTTTCTCATATAGAGAATGTAGATAATACCTGCCCTATTTATTTTATTGCCTATTGTGAAGATAAAATGGAAAAGCAGTTTAAAAATTATAAAGCCCTGTAAAAATGTGAAAAATATTTAGTATTTCATGTGCCAGTTAATGACCTACTTCTTTTGGGCAATAGTCAATAACATCAGAGTTCGGTCCAAAGCAGAGAATTTAGATTATCTATTAGAGTTTATTTTAACAGAATTCTTCCTGTCCAAATTAGGTCCCAAATAGCAGCAGTGCAGGCATTTTACTTAAATGTTCCAGAGTGTTTTTGTGTTTGTATGAGAGATTCTGGTGCAGATGGGTTTTGACAATAGCCTTGAATCATACCCTCCACTCCAGCCGTCTCAGGGCCAACCAGCATGAACATACTGAATTAATTAGCAAGCTCTTACTTAGCACCTGTTCTGTGCTTAGCGCTCCCCTGTGGGCAGGTGGTCAGACGTCCAAGTTTGCCTGGGACTGTTATGGTTTACACCTTAACCCTTGTAATTACTAATAGCGCCCCTTTCACTCTCAAAGGTGTCCTAATTTTAATGATCAGTTGTATGGTCACCCTACCATGGTTACCTATGGGACATAGAAGGAAACACAGGAAGTCCCTGGCTTACAAACACCAGACTTAGAAATTTCTTTTCCCATCCTAGCTCCCCACCACTGGAAAAGCCAATATTACTTCTAGGGGAGCCATTAGTAAAACCTTGGGTCTTTTGGAGACTTGGTGGACTCAGAGGTAAAGGCAGAGCCAAGGCTGCGAAGAGCTGGTATGGTCCTCCAGAGGGCTGCACTACAAGTTGTCCTCCTCTGCAAAACCTCCTCCCTCAGACCATTTCTCTTTATTGCATTGGCTAATACTCCTGGTCAGAGATTTATTTGTGGAAAACAAGCATTCTACTTTCAATAGTGTAAACAGGTTGGGGAATGTTCATGGCAATTGATTTTTTTCCCTCCTAACATGGAGGTGATGTCTGCTTATACGGAGGAGGAAATGTGTTTCCTGGAGGAATAAGATTGGAAAGAAAAAAGTAGTTTTGGAGCACAGGATATTCTGGGGAGTAAGACCCTCCTTTAGGGCAACCTAGGTACACAACGGACCAGTGGGCGATGAGCATGGGGGCATAAAGGAAGGTGGGTGACAAAGAGATGCAATAGTTGTTTGGGAAAAAAGTGTTGCCTTGTGCTCAACCCATCTCTTGGAAAGGGAAAGGAATGCCCTTTCTCTGCCACCTGCTGCTGCTCCTTCTTTTCCTCCCCTCCCCTATATGGCCCAGTGCCTAGAATTCAAGCCAGTACTAGACTATGCACTGCATAGGTCTGGGAATGCGACTTCCATTTATAGCAGTGCTTTGGCAGGAATATGAATTCTGGGGTCCAATCAATGGACTTACCAATACATTTTGGGGAACATCCTTTCTTAAGTTGGGAATTTCCTGTAGAAGACCTGTTCCCAGCCTGGAGGGCTCACAGTCACTGGATTTAGGGGAGACTCAGTTAATAAATAGGAAACTACTGGAGAGCAATCAAGCGCCAACTGTAGGGTATTGGTTCTAGGTACAATGGGAAGTCATCCAAAGGGGAGCTCAGAGAGGGGTGGTATGTAGGTTCATTGAAATTTTCACATAGGACAATATGACGGTTTTGTGTTAAGAATATACTTAGATAACAAGAGGAGGGAGGAGAAATTTTTTAATAGTGATGAAAGTCACCTGGAGCCAAGGTTTAGTATCGGCATGAGCATGGACAAGGAAGGCTGCGAGAACGAATCAGGCCTGATGGAAGCAAAATGGCTTTCCAAGAAGCAGTGGGAAATTGGCTTGGCTAAGGTGAAATGGGGTCAAATATTTCCTGTAAATTAAATTTCATGAAACGTATCACTGAAACTTGCACATATTTCATGTGACTGAACACTTTGAGGCAATAAATCTTGACAGCATTTTTCAAGTGGATGATTTAACATGACTAAAGTTCAGAGTAGGTGAGGACCAGATCTTGGAAGGCTCGGAATCCAGATTAAGGACTTTGGACTGGATGAAAGAGTCCATAATGGTGTTATTGAAGATGCTTATTCAGAGTTGGAACATTGGTGTGTGGCTGGTATATAGCATGAAGGAGGAAGAAGTCAGGGAGACCATTTAGGAAGCTGCTACAGTAGGCCAGGGGTGAGGAGCTGAGTAACTGGACCAGGAAGGAAGCAGCAGATTGGAGAAGGCACAAATCTGAGAGCCATTGTAGAGATGGAAACAGCAGGACTTAGAGATCACATGGGAAGAACCAGAGGAGGCCCTTATGTATCTCAGGGTAACTTAAGCATGAGAGGAACTCTGTTCACGTGAAGGCTTCTTACCTGTGCAGCCTGCCATTCCCTCCTAGTGAACTCCTTTTCCAAGGAAACCCTATAACACCTATTGAGTAACCTAATTCTGCAACAATTCAGACCCATCCATTGGAAGTCTTAAAGCATTTATTTATTCACTTGATTTGGCAAAATTAAGTTAGTAAATAAATGCTATAGAGTTTCTAACCTGGAAGACTTAAGCATGCGATTCATTCTACTGCCAGGTAGTGAGAACCGCCAGGGCTTCAAAAGAGAGTGAGATGCCCAGAGTTTGTTCACATGGAAATGAATGCTTTTTACTTCATAACCCCTGTGCCCTTCCTGTGAACCATGTCTCCTGAGAAAATCCTACCAATTTAGTAACCTAATTTGTAAAAGGAGGTTAGTGAATCAATGCTGTAAGACTTTTATGGAAATATTTGAAATTAATTAGCCTTGTCAGCTTTTATTTGCATAGGCTCTCTTCCAACTACATCTTTCCCCCCCAAGTATAACTTTTTAATAAGATTGATTTTTAAACAATAAAACTTAGAGAATCTGTGTACAAAGAGCTTGAAGAATTTAAATATGTGGGTTTATTATTAACACAGTAGCAAATATATCAAGGAAACGCCCCATGAAAAGTGTTTCAAAGAAACACAAATCTGCTCTGAGAAAGGTCTGTACCCAATAAGTAAGCCCAAAGAGCCTTGTTTGCTTGGTGATGCCGGCAGATAAGCCTGGCAAACCTCGGTGTGATTGAAGAAGCCAGTTTGAGACTCAGCCTAGCGCAGGCAAGCTACTGGCCCCTGGCAGCACTCAACGAACCTCAACACAATGGTGTTCGCATTTTGGAAGGTCTTTCTGATCCTAAACTGCCTTGCAGGTAAGGAAAGGATCTCCAAACCATCAAAGCTAATTGGGAATAGAGTTTCCTTTTAAACTGAAATCGCAAATTTTTACGTAGAATGTTCCCCTCCTCTCAAAGGAATTGTGATTAGTATGCTAAGTAAAATAAGTTTCAGATATCTTGCTTAGCAAATACGTGCCATGCTGTAAAGATCATTATTTTATGTAGCTTCTGAATTAAATTTCAGGAAAATCACACTATCTTTCTTTTTTTTAGTTTGGAAGGTGAACAGATGAATTCACTCAGAAGCTGAAGTTTGTGCTAAGAGTACTTTTTTCTCTGTCTTACTTGAGTGTTCCCTTTAAGCTCTCTGTAATCGGCTCGTTTTGCTACAGCAGGCAGAGACCTGGCTCAGAGGGCCTGCCATGCTTTGCTAACAGTTCTTAAGGGGTTGCAGTTTTCCAAGCCTAAGATTGTGTTTTGAAAAATATGTGAGTGATTTATTGGTTGTGCACAATATGGGTGTTTTTAGGGATTTGAGCAGAACAAAATCATTTCTAGAGACAAAATCCTGATGTTGGTTAGACCCGGGAGAGATCACTAATTCAGAAAACCCCTTGGCTAGTTTTTTCTAATAGCAGATACATTTTGAATCTGTTCTTATGATAAGTTAAGTCCATGGTATATACAATAATATTGTTTACACTAATATTGATATTTTTAAGCCAATAATATTGATATTTTTAAGCCATTAGTAATACTAAGCAGTCATTAGAATGAGGTTTACTAAGTATATTTAATGATATAAGAAAATGCTCAGGCTAAAATATTAAGTGAAAAAGCAGGACACACGCATATGCCTAGAATAAATTGCTAGAACATTATGTTCCAAGGTGCTCATGGTGATTACTTTGGGGTGATGGGATTATAGATGATTTTTATTTTATTCTCCAGCTTTTTCATATTTTCCAGGGTTTCTACAAATACTATTATACTGCTTTTATAGTAAAAAAGTGTTACTTTTCAAAACCATATGGTATTTAGTAATAGTTCTCTAAATGTTCATTACTAAATGTTTAAACATACATGTTCTATGGAGTCACTAGAAGGCAATACTGCATGTATCCAGTGATCAGGACTTAGAGCTGGAAAAAGCCGCCTTTCTCAGTTTCCCCTCTGGTGGAAACAAATGTTACTATTTTTCCTTTCCCCCAGGAATATTCATTTTAAACCTTAACTTTAGACAGTGGAAGTCTTTGTCCCTTCTTAAAGAGCTTCCAGTCATTAGTTAATTGGGTTGCCCCTGGGCCTTCTGTACCAGCCCCCTAAAATTACACCTGTAGTCAACACTTACGTCCCCGTGTGAAGCCTTACTCTGGCCTATACTAGACACCAGTTTTGGAACAGTTGAAAGAGTAGTTCCTACTGTAACTAACATATATATAATTATTACTGATTATAAATTTAATGAGTTGTCATTGTAGAAAGGTTGGAAAATATGGAAATGTATAAATAAGAAAATAAAAATCACCAGTGATCTTACTAGAGATTTGGGTGAATTTCTTTTTTTTTTTTTCCTTTGCAAGTAGATATATTACATTACAAAATTGGGTTTACACCTTGTATACAATTTTTTTTATTGTTTAAAAAATTACTTAGATGATGTCACAATCTTGCTTGATTGTGACTTTTAGAACAAGGCCCAATCAGAGTGACCAATAAATACTTCAGAGCCTTTGTTCTTAAATTATTTTATAACTGGTTTTGTTGGCCTATAGTGTATACTGTGTATCTATACATATACAATCTAGCTGGCCCAAAGCAAAATATGCTTGTGTGCGTTTAGCAGATGGAATGAAAATATGGTGTAATATATTGTTGTTTGCTGTGGTTACATATGTATGGAAGTCAGAGAAAGAAAGATTTCAGTAATCTATAACTGGTATTAGTAGTGCCCATCAGTTGATCCAGATATGGCTATGAGGAAACTGGTAATGTTTCCATCAGTGTGCAATTTGATGTGCTACCTGGACTTATTTCCTCGTCAGGAGGAATGTCACATTTTTGGTATCAAGCATGGTGCCTGGCATATAGTCGGCCCATAGGAAATGTTTATTGAAAGAATGAATTACCTTCTGAAATCCTGCCATTTGTGACATGGATGGACCTTGAAGGCATTATGCTAAGTGAAATAAGTCATACAGAGAAAGACAAATACCATATGATCTCACTTATACGTGGAATCTAAAAAACTTGAATTCATAGAAACAGAGAGTAGAGTGGTGGTTACCAGAGGCTGAGGGTTGGGGGAAATAGCGAGATGTCGGACAAAGGGTACAAACTTCCAGTTAGAATATGAATAAGTTCTGGGGATCTAATATACAGCATGGTGACTATAATTAACAATGCTATGTTATATACTTGAAAGTTGTTAAGAGAGTAGATCTTAAACGTTCTCTCCACAAAAAAGAAATGGTAATTATGTGATGTGATGGAAGTGTTAGTTAACGCTATGGTGATAATCATTTTGCAATATATGCATGCATCAAATTAACACTTTGTACACCTTAAACTCACACAATATTTTGTGTCAATCGTATCTCAATAAAGGTGGAAAAATAAAAGAATTAATTACTTTCCCAAGCCCCAAATTTCCAGAAATGATTTTCACATACATATTTAAAATCAATTTTTTGTACAACTAAGCAAGACAGATTTTATTTTAATCAAAATCTTTCTGATGACTTCTTAGGGAGTCTTAGGTTAAATTCCATTTCAGGAAAAGAATTTTAATCAAAAATATCTTCTGCAGAAAGTTCATGCATATCATTTTAGGTGCTTGTAATATATATTAGCCACTTGTTGGAAAGATATGTTAATATTTTCATTTTCTGGAGGTATGTGCTATGCATTTTAAAGCAGTAATATATTTTAACTTTGGTTTTGCAGTCAAATCCAAAAAGTGAGTGATCCTTTGGTTATATTATTTCCTAACTCAAAAATGAAGCAATTATACATGAAATTGCTGGAAATTAAATCACTTTAAATGCATCAGCTTAAATATGGCTATCTGGGGGATATTTTTGCTGTGGTATATTAGAAGAATAACAAACCCCTTATACGCAAAGTGCCTGCCACATTGGAGGCATTAAATAAATGAATGAGCAATCATTACCAAAATACGAGGCATTTAAAATGTTTTTAGAGTGTTGATTAATTTATGTGTATACACTGTGGATTATTTTCCTTTAATAATATGTACTGATTTTTAAAAGCAGTCACACATATTTCAACCACATGTGCGTTTTTTTCTTCTTTTTTTAATTCAGCCAGATCAGTGTGTGAAATTGCAATCCTGGGTTTTGTTTAAATGAGGTACTAGTCTTTATTTTTCTATTTATTCACAGTCTAGTTAAGGTAGAGATTTTTCTGACTTTTTCAATTTTTAAATAACTTCTCAATTTGGAGTAAATTAATCCAAAGGAAGAGAACTTTTTTTCCCCTGACACTCACAGAATCACCTTCAGTTTAAGACTAAATTTGCACTGTTCGCTATCCACATGTGGCTATCTAAATTTAAATTTATTCAAATTAAATAAGATTAGAAGTTCATTACCTCAGTCATACTAGTCACATTTCAGGTGCTCCTTAATCACATGTGGGTAATGGCTACTGAATTGGACAGTACAGAGATAGAACATTTCCATCATCACAGAAGTTTCTATTGGACAGTGCTGGGCTAGAGGATGATCTCAGAGGTCTAAGTAACGTGCGCTAATTGAATGATGTGACATGTTAAAAAAGTTCATCTGGAAATATATAGCTCTTAGCTCTGAAATGTATTGTCACTATATTAGGGATGGACAAGTTCTGAAAACCATCTTTTCTTCAGAATTTAAAGATTGATTATGGTGCTGAGAATTGGGAATCTGGGCAATAAAATGGTCTGGAGATAGTTCCTTGTCAATTGTTACCTCGTTACAGGACAATGAGTAGTAGTCTTAAAAATATATTGTCTCATGGTAGATTTGGAGCTTACCATCCTTATTCCAAGGTGATATTGTTGAGCTTTTACAGATCTCAAATTATTTACATATTTATATGTCTTCTATTAAAAAATGTTGAAAATGTTTAAATTGGATTTATAGTTCCCAAATCTTTGATTTTCATTTGCCCTTATTCTAGTCTGTGCTATAAATGGCTTCCTGCTGCATTGACATGGCAGGCAGAGATTGTGTCTGTCTTGTTCATTATCGTTTCCCTAGTGTTTAGCACTGTTTGAGGCACAAAATAGGTGTTCAACAGATATTCATTGATAGGCACCAGAGACTCTTCCATAGTTTGTCTTGTGTGAGAACTGTCCTTACCCTGCCTTTAAGCACTTTTGCCAAGAGCAGCCTTTAAAGGGTTTTGTTTATTTATTTGGCCTTACCTGGTCATAAGATCCCACCATTAGCCAATCCCATAACAGATATTGGGACCCAAAATAGAGGACAAAAATAATGGCCAAATAATATCTCAAAAATCTTTGTTTTTAGGGGAAAGTTTCTGGGAACTTTAATGGCCAAAATATCCCCATTCTATCCTTTTTATTTTGAACACTTTAAAGACATTTGGAAGTCATCATTTGGGCATAGCCAGAGGTGTGGCTAAGTTCCAGGAGAAATGAGATGGACTATTTGAGGGCAGGAGAGAGCCACTTAGCTTTCTCCAACTAAGTTTCCATTGGAAAGAGGAGCTGCTTTCTGCAGGCCAATTTTGTTTTCTTGGGAGGCATAATGGGAACCAGGAAAACATGGAAAGGAAAACATTGGGAAGAGGGAAACTGCATGGAAGCTGCATTGGTGTCTACCCTAAAGCACTTCTCTTAATTCATCAAGACATCGGTTGCCATGTAAGCAGCCAACTTCTGGCCAAGAAGCAGCTGGACCAGGTGGCCTGGCTGAGACAGAGAACAAGGCTACTGAATCCAGGAAACCAGGGGTAATCAGTCCACTGGTTTGCTTTTTCTTTTAATCTTTCAAAATATTTGTCAA